AAAAATGATATTTTTAAATCACGTCAGGTTCTCGACCTATATGCTATCATCAAATCCTCTCATGAGACCCGTGAACCTACCACAATTACTCAAGCCCAAAAATCTCCACACTGGCGTAAAGCTATGTGTGAAGAATATGATGGTCTACTCCATAACTCCACATGGACTCTTGTACCTTTTCATCCTACACAAAACATCATCGGGTGTAAAGGGGTCTTCCGAATTAAGCGGAACCCTAACGGGTCTGTTGCTCGATATAAAGCACGTTTAGTAGCCAAAGGGTTTCATCAACAACTTGGAGTTGACTTCACAGAGACTTTTAGTCCTATAGTTAACTCACAACAATTCGGCTTATTCTAAGTTTGGCCATCTCTAGAGGTTGGCACTTACGACAACTGGATATTAACAATGCCTTTTTATAGGGGACTCTAACTGAAGATATCTTTATGTAGCAACCCCCTGGCTTTGTTCATCACTAGTATTCACGACATGTCTGCAAATTACAAAAAGTCATTTATGGACTTCGTCAAGCTCCAAGAGCTTGGTATACTGAACTTGGATCGTTTCTGATATCCTTTATAAATTCCAAGTCTGATACCTCTTTATTCCTACGATAACAACATGACAATACAATATATCTTCTAGTGTATGTAGATGATATTATTGATAGAATCTCAACGTCAGGATATGTCATCTTTCTTGGGTCTAATCCTATCAGTTGGAGTTCTAAGAAGCAAAAGATAGTCGCTCAGTCTACAATTGAAACTGAATATCATGTCATCGCTACCATTGCTATTGAACTCAATTGGGTTACAAATCTCCTACAATATATTATGACAATGTTGGAGCTATCGACTTTCACTTAGAACTTAATTGGGTCAATCTAGTGTTCCACTCACGCATGAAACACATTGCTATCGACTTTCACTTCGTGCGAGATCAAGTTATCAGATATCAACTTTGTGTCTCTCATGTACATACGGCTAATCAACTAGCAGACTCACTCACGAAACCTCTAGCTCGTAAATTATTTTTGTTACATCGGTTCAAGATCGGTATCCTTGACAGGAGCTCGATCTTGCGGGGGCATGATAATATAGAGATTTTCTCAACCGCATAACAGATGAGATTTTTTCAACTGCGTGAAGAAATCTCACTGTTCAGTTGAGAAAATCCTCTCCTTCACCATATATAAATAGACACCATATAATACTAATTTAGATGTGCTTTCCTTTCCTTGTTTCTACCATTTGACTCTTAGTTTTCTCATTGTGAACATGCATGCAAGTCCTCATCGTGCTTCTCTTTCGTCTCCCTAGTTCTACAAGGATACAACGAGTAGGATTTTTCTTTCATCTCACTCAATATCTTCTGATGTTCAACACCTGTGTCTTGTGTCTCTCCCAAGTCCAAGTCAAAGCAAGAACAAATCAGTATGGTATCTATTTCTTCTATAAGAAGAGAGCCAATCCTTTCTAATTCAATAATTGGTTTCTGCATGTTAGTTTGCAAACCCAGAAGAATGGTTTTCGTCCAACACCGAGCAACGTTCTATCACATGCTTATGGAAGCATTCGATAAAGAAGAAGAGGTGCATCTCGTTGAAGCCCATCAACGCGAGTGTTCCTGGGACAAGAAGAAGGCCTCGTTGGGCTCTGCCTCGTAAACAAACAACTACGAACAAGCTCGATGTACATAGATGGTCTCAAGGATATGATAAATGTACTTGAGTAGTTCAGATTTAAGGAACGATAATTGGTATCAAGATTCATAGGGGGAGGGTGTTCCACCTTCCTTGCAGGTGGACAGAAGCTTCAGGTTTCATATTATATATATATCTATTTTATTACCGTTACACTTTGGCATTCCAACAAAGTCAAGGTTGGAGTACACGTTTCATCTTTGATTCAACCATCGCGGTACAAATTCTGTGAATATATACGACAAATTGTTGACCAAAAAGTACGAAGCCAGCTGGGAACCGAGTGGATTGTCAAGCTACCAATTTCGAGCGGTACGAGACTGAAAGATCGTATTCCTCCACGGTTTATACATCACAGATGAGTTTGCCGTCAACTCGCCAAGGTTTTTATTGGCTTTGCCAACGATGAGGTAAAAGCTTTCAGGATGCGAACAATCAGTTGACTAAGAATGCCCCAAACATTAGTGTTCATCGTGATCTGAACTTTGAACAAGTATTTTTCTTTCGTTATTGGTTTCCTGGAAAATAGATACCCATCCATCCCAGCTGTGTCAGATCGATGGAATTGTTTAACCCTTCCGTGTTTGAACTTTGGTATCACTTTCCATCAGTCTTGCTGTCTCGTTTTTTGAGAGGGTAATTTCTCTCTCCAAAAAAAAAATATATATTTCTATTTAGTCCAAGATAAGTGGGTTAGCAATCTCATTCGTATACATAAATAATAAGAAAAGAATTAAGACAACCAACAACATGTCAAATATCCTTAACCCAAAATTTTTATCGCTCAAAAAATATAATAACAATCTAGTATAGAATCAAACTAGTATTTCCGAGTCTGATTTCATATGAATCACCTAAACTCTATTGTCTTAACAATAATTGCTTCTCGGTAAAAGATATTCTCTCGTTCAACATACCTTGGTACATTATTGTTCATTACTCATCTTTAGCATATGATTAGATGCGAGAGGCAAAAAAAAGTTGTCACAAGTGAAAGACGTTCAAAATCCCAAAGACTTTTCTTCTCGTGTTATCCAACGCCATTGTCGATTAAAGCTCTGAATCAACAAAGACGGACACGAAAACGACAAGGAAGCATAGGTGAGCGATGACGCAGCTCTCGTTCAATAATCCATTATAAAATTCGGCATTCCACGTACCTAACACGCGCTTCTCTCTGCAGGGTTTCCACCGTCTTATGCCCACCACGCGCCTCATCCATTAAAATATTGACCATCAAGCGTGCTGGACTCCACATATACATATACTTGTGAGCGGCACATGCAGCATGTCCATTTCAGATCCTACCCACTGCAACATCCTACTCAAAAGTGCGCAACTCTACGACAATGATGGTCTTCGTTGTCTTGTTGGTGATATTTAATTATAGTTTAGAAATTTTCGATTTTACCGAAGAAAAGAATTAAAAATTCGGTGATTACATTGAGCCTCGAACGACGTATGAGGTTAGTGATCTTGGAGCTTTCATCCATCCGTCGACCGTGTATGGTTGGTTGGTTCGTTGAAACCAGGGAAACCAAATGCTGCAACCAAAAGAATCCAGAAAAAAGCTAGCTTTCTTGCCATGGCGGACAGTGGTTGGTACGTAGCCGCAGGTATAAGTAGATGGCCATTGGTTTTGGTGTTCTCAAAAGCTTTCTACCACGCTACTTGGCTCTGACAAACATGGCCGAGAGGCTTGATGCAAGATTCTTGTTCCACCTAGCTCTTTTGAGCTTGCTCCTTGGTTCGGCCAATGGCAATGGCCTGAAGTTTGGGTTCTACAAGACGTCGTGCCCGGATGCCGAGGCCATAGTCCGGAAGACCGTATCCAGTTACTTCTCTCGGGACCCCACTGTCTCTGCTCCGTTGCTTCGGCTGCACTTTCATGACTGCTTTGTTAGGGTAATCGATCAGTTGCACTTCTATGTTTACGATGACGATTGGTTTCTGTCTCCGTCACAAGGATGAAAGATCACGATGTGACTTCGTGTTGTTGCGCAGGGCTGCGATGGCTCGGTGCTGCTCAACTCCACCGAGACCAATTTGGCCGAGAAGGAGGCGATGCCAAACCAAAGCCTCGATGGGTTTTACGTCATCGACGCTGCGAAAGCGGCACTGGAGAAAGCCTGCCCCGAGACGGTCTCGTGCGCAGATATCGTAGCTCTCGTAGCCAGGGATGCTGTGTCCTTGGTAAGTTGGTTCGAATCAGCTTCCAAGCTCTTATTTTGCCGAGGCAATGTCGGTTGCAGTATGTGGTGATCATGTGGAGTCCTCTGTTCCATCTCAGGCTACAGGCCAAGGCAATAGCCTCTACCAAGTCCACACCGGGCGGCGAGATGGGTTCGTCTCCAAGGCTTCCGAGGCTGTAGCTAATATTCCATCTGCCTTCTCAGACTTCGACGAGCTGAAAGCAGAATTTGCTTCCAAGGGACTAAGCGTGAAGGACTTGGCTGTCTTATCAGGTACTACCGTGATATCTCAGCTCCTATAAGCCTCTTTATCCCCAGGAGTTCTCGCTTATCCGATCACAAACAGAGTATGATTGCCTTCAACTTCGTTCTGATGATTGGATATGATCGTAAACATGAGCGCGTCGCGTCTTTCTTTTCAGGCGCTCATGCGATTGGTAACTCGCACTGTTTTTCCTTCGGCAAGAGGTTAAACAACTACAAGGGCAAAGGTGACATCGATCCAACTTTGGATCCAAACTACGCAATGGAATTGCGAAACAAGTGCAGTCCGGGTATCAACACGGTGGTGGAGATGGTTCCGGGCAGCTCGACGTCGTTCGACACCAAATACTATGATTTGGTGGCCAAAAGGAAGGGGCTGTTCCGTTCTGACGAGGCTCTCCTCCAGGACAAACGGACCAGAGATTACGTTTATTCTCGACTTCACGCCCCTGAGTCGAGCTTCTTCTACGACTTCGGCAAATCAATGATGAAGATGGGGAAGGTTGGAGTCCTCACAGGCAATGCAGGGGAGATCAGAAGGAACTGTGCTTTGGTCAACCACTAGGTTGTCGAATTCGTTGTGGATTTTCTTGTTGTTCGTGAATTTCTAATAAACGCAGGATTCAGTGCATCGCCACTTTCTTCTTGTATCAACAGATGATTTGTTGTGTTGAATTCATCCTATCTTCCATGAAATAAAACAGTGGTTCCTGAAATGGTGACCGGATGGGTTCCTCCGTTTGCAAGTATCAGCGTCGGGTCTTCTCCCCGGACTAAGCCCACTCAAAGGCCTCCTCCAGTGTCAATTGGGTCCCATGGGCTAATCGTTAGGAGTCGAGAGCAAGGTTTACGTACTTGTGCTTTATCCTGTCATCATTTACTCTTCTTGTGTTTTGATTCTGGCAGTAGTCGTTGAAGCATGTTGGGAAGCCATGGGCTGTGCCGCTTCTGCCTCATCTTCCTTCTCACGATCGTCTTCCTAGTCCTTCTCTTCTACCTCACCTACCGCCCCATAAAGCCCCGTTACTACCTCACCGCGTTCTCTCTCCTACTCAACTCCTCCTCCTCCTCCTCCTCCTCGGCCCCCGGTGCCGGCGCTGCGGTGGCCTCCTTCGAGCTCGCCATCAAAAACCGTAACAAGGAGCTCGGCGTCTACCACGACGACCTCGGTCTTTCCCTCTCTCTCCCCCCCTTCAATTCCTCCTCTTCTGCCACCGCCGTTGTCCCCGGGTTCTATCAGGGCCACCAGAGGACCGCATCCAAGGCGGGCTTTTTCATTCTTTCTTCTTCTTCTTCTTCCAAGCGCCCCTGGCCTGCGGTGGCGAACGGGTCGGCGGTGCTCCGCATCGCGGTGGAATCGGCGGTTCGGTACAAGGCGGTGGCGTGGAGGAGCCGGCGCCACAGGGTGAGCTTGGCGGCCGAGGTCGCGATCGACGGGGAGGGTAAGAAGACGGCGGACAGGATCCGATTCCATTCCTGTGCGCCGCGGGTCTACTGTGATGTTCCATTCCGGCACTCCATCATCGCCGTTGTTTTGGTTGCCTTTGCTGCGCTGATGCTGAGTGGACGGCTGTGATTTTATCGTTATCTTGTGCATACTCGGCGATGGTCGTCTAAGAGGGTTTTTTTTTTATAGCTCCATGTGGCATGGGAGTTACATGTACCATCGGGAAGCCCATAAAACTGTCATTTGGATTAGATGGGCGAAATATGTGGGTACTCTGGTGAATCAATGGGCTTGCAATGTGTATGTAACATGGTTCTGTACTAAACCTGTTTGATTAATGCTCCTATTACTTGGTTTTTTTTTTTTTTGGGGATTAATTTCAGTCACATTATTCCTGTCTTCTGCTTGAAACCTTAGATAGAGTAAACCTGAATTGGCGGGCGAGTCAGCGTGGTCTTTATCCAGCAATTGATAATTTTTTTTCCTTATCACCAGTAATTGATGAACTTGCTAGACATAATTCAAGAGGAACGGTATCGAGACACACATGTTTTGATAATTATACGATTCTACCCAAGCTAACATTATCCTTCCAAACCCTAAGCCCAAACATCAGCGAAATCGAAGATCGATCGAATTCAGCGAGGTCCATGTCGGTAATATCGCGGAGGGCATTTGCTTCCGATGACGCAAGATATTTCTCCAAGGGTTTAAGAGATCAAAACGAAAAGCACACAGGATGGACGGGAGGGGAGCCAAGGGTGTTGGTGTTCGAAAGGCGCAAGCGAGAACAGGGTGAGGTAGCCAGACCCCCGCCATCTTCGCTTCCGTCCTCATCCTTGGCCCATAAACCCTAAACCTCGGGTGCAGGTAGAGGTGCCCAGTCCAATAAACGCGTTAATTCTCTCTGGATGTGCCCGCTGCCGTTGGAAAACGCCGTCGTCGCTTCGTCAGAGCTCTGATACCTTCGCTTCTCTTGTCTTTTCCGGCTATTTGGGTTCGGTTTCGGCCGTTTCGATGCTGAATGGGTTTGATTTTGGGTGTGGGTTGGATTCTTGAAGTGTTATCTCGAGTGGTGCGTTTGGTTTGGGATTTTCTTTTTCCAGTGGTTAGACAATCAATTTTTTTTTGAACTGATGTTCATGTTTCGTAGGAAACAGAATGCGTATCGATGTTCTTTCGTCGGCGTATTAATGCACTTTTGATTATTGATCTTTAATATTCGGTAGAATTCCTTGGTGATGGTTATTTTTAGATGTCATGCTTGTGATAGGGGCGAAAATAATCATGGCTACACACGTGTGCGACTACATGGACATGACCCATGGAATTCTTTGTTTTGGATTTTGCCTGTGGGTCGCTCAAGAATGTATCTATAAATATTTTATTTAGCATAGCAAGAAGGCCAAAATTTCCTTTTTTTTTCGTTCTGGAAATTCTCTGATGCCTGCTGTTGCTTTTGGTTTTTGTGTTTTCTTGCAAGTAAGTTTCATTTCTGTCCATCAAGGAGAAGATTCGAGGGCACATGGGTTTCCTAGTATTTCTGATGCCCACACTTTTTGTTTCTTTAAGTGCGTAGTCTTTTTGGTCCTCACTAAGAAAGTGACTAAGCTGCTGACTAGTTCCTGAAATGAATACCGGCTTGATTAGATGTTTTTGCTTTCGAATATCATCCATCTATATAATGTTTGCACTGTCTTAATGTTCTATGGAAATCTGTTAGGAACTAAATTCTGGCTGATCACAACAAGATGTATTTGCTTGAATATCTTGCCAATTAGCTGCTTTTCATTGTTTGTATGCTTTGTCAGAGAGGGTATGCATTCAAGTACGGTCTCTAATTATTTTCACATCCCAACCTCTGTTTAGTACGATTCTTCTCTTGGTCACTTCTAGGTTGATGGGTGCTGATGATGTTGATGACCAAAAAGACAATGGAGCAAAGAGAGAAAACAACATGCCGACTACAGTCCTTGGAAAAATTATACTCAGGTGTTTCTTTTGTAATCCAGCTAAGTCCCTGGGTTTCTAAATATAATTCTTTAGTTTATTGATGTTTGTCTTTCTTGCAGAGGATAAATATCCTAAACAAAATAAAATGGAAGAATATGCATCATCACTGAATTTAACGTATCATCAAATTCATGGCTGGTTTGCTGAGAGAAGAAGAAAAGATAGAAGGAAGAATGAAGCTCTTCATTCAAGTATAAAAAGCTTCCCTAGTAGTAGTTCCAATGCATTTAAACACACTCATGGTAAGTGTCTTAATTTATCAGGTCACAGGAGAACCGCTGGCACTTCAAGATGTGCTATCAAGAAGATGAATCAACTTGTCAGACAGAAATGTAGGTATAAGGATCTAGAGCAACTGATGAAGAGCCATTCGGGTGGCAGATCAAATTATGCAGAAAAGAATCACATTTTTCACTTACAGATTTTGTTCCCTGAAGACCATATTTTAAAGAAAATATTCTGCAAACATGGTCCTGTCCTCGGAATAGAGATTGACCCCCCTGGAGATGCATTTGGTCACTCCACAGGTGTGTCTTGCTTCATTCTTAGACACATTTAAATATTTGCAGTCTTATTTGGTTAATTTTCATAACGATTAGATTGAAATATTTTCTTTGAAATTGGCAATTTTAGGTGCATGTAATTCGGAATTTTTTTAATAATTTACTTTAATAATATTATTATTATTAATAAAGGTAAGAAAGTTAAGCTTGTGCAGTATGAGGATATATTTTCTGAAGCTTAAATTAACCCTTGTGGATCCCATGGTTTGATTCGCTTGGAGACTTGGAAAGATTTGAACTGCATTCATTGTACCTGGTGGATATGCCCACTTGAATGCCAGCAACCCTGACTTGATGCGGGGAAAGTGTTCTTTGACTTCTTCAAATACTTGTGGTTCATATTCCTCACACTTCCCTATCCTTTTTTTAACTATATAGGAATCCCTTTCTAAATAATTTTTTTCTTGAGATTTAGAAAGGAAATTGTTGAATTAACTAAGTGCCATAAAACATTTAGAACATTTTGAGATCAGTTTAATCTGGTTGATCTATATATATAGAGCTCTATATGGGATGAAAACGAATGAATTGTTGTTATTGTGTCCCTTCTATTCTGAAATTTTAGCTTTAACAATGATGCCCAACAACAAAAGCAAACTGTAATGTCCCAACTTTCAGGGTTGATGAGCTTTATGCAAGGTTTTATCATGATGCCCTCTCGTAATAACATCGCAAACGTTTTTTTATAAACAGTGGGCTAAAATAATTTGTTTGCAGCAGCACATGCCATAATGCCCTGCCTTACATGTGTATTAGCATGTCTTGTCAGGGTTCAGGCATATGTGCTGAATTGTGATTGTCACTATCATGTATATGGTAATTATTTACTGTAAATTAGGGCAATCTAAAATCCTAAAAGGTTGCTTGGTTTAAGAATGTGGACCATGGTTTACTCTCGGCAATAATGTAACAAATGACATAGCTAAAAGAAATGGTGTTCATAATAGTAGTACCATAGATTTGTAGAGGTTATTTCATGTGGCAATTGGTTGAAGGTAGAAATTCATATAGGAGTTTTGTTTGAGTAGGAGACCGATGAGATATGCAAAAAAAGGTGTTGTATGTTCTGAGTTGTAGTTTAACGGTGAAGTTTGTGAAATTGATTGTTTATAAGAGAATGAATAATAAGTTTGAAGGATAAGCATTATAGGAGTAAGTTTTAGGTAAAGAGAAGTAATCTTGGACTCTCTGTCTTTGAAAATTACATCAGGGAAATAGATGGTGTCAGCAGCTTGCCCCTTTCAGTATGTATGCAGTGTGGCAGCTGATGTCGGAGAGAGGAAGGGTAGAGAAACCAGCAACAAAAGCCCTTTCTGAAATGAATGAACAATGACATTGTTTGGCTTTTAAGGATCATTTTTGCACAGTTCATCTTACAAACTATAGTACATGTGCTGGACAAAAAGAACTTTGACAGTCTTGCTGTTCATAAAGTTGAGCTCTTATCGTAATCTGCCTTATCCTTGAACCTCTGAAGGTACTAAAGATCTACTTTAGTCTAAGCAGTAGACATTTAAATTAGATGACTGTTATTTTAGCAAACTTAGATGGTTCTTTTATTATACTTGTTTCTAAAGTGTTAGGTTTTCGGTTAATTCCAGTTCTTTGTTATTATCTTACTTTTGGAGTTCCAAATGTTTCATTCTTACATATTTTCCAACTTATTTACACTAGAGTTCGAGAAGCTTCAGTCCTGTCATGACAACCAACGTATTCCCAGAAGGAGCAAGGTATCACAAAACTTCAAGTAATTTGACAAGTAGCTTCTGTCCTTTTTCTTTGGAATACAAAATATTAACTTGGGTAGAGCTGGGTATGGTCTAAGTCATATCTAACTAATTGCAACATGGACCAATTGGATTTTCATTTGGGCATCTACATGCCTAAGTTTTGGTCTAAGTCACCTGATGTTGGATGTTCATTTGTTTTTCTTTTTTTGACAGTTTGCTTCAGATACTGTGTATAAAAAGTGCTTTTTATGTAAGTTATCTTCAAAATTTAATATCTTATCCTAGGACTTTTTTGTTTTTGTTAACTTATACTTTCTTGTCCATGTTTTGGTTACTCTCTCTGTCCATATATGTATCAATTGTGTGCTGTCATCTTAATTGATGACGATTTTTTTTATTTAATTTAGTTAGTTGTCAATGAGGAAGGTTACTATGTCTTAGCATCAATCACATATTAGATGATCTTGACAAAATTTCTCCTGTGAAACACTGGAAAAAAAATGAACAGTATGTTTTTATAGTGATATCTTTTCTTTTAAAAGAACTCTTTGCAGGCGTTGGTGACAACTATACTTGCCTCCAGAACTCTTCCTGAAGTTAATTTTCATGCAAGGAAGTATGGTATGGGCAAAGGGTTGATGACAGTATGGCATGCAACACGCCCCAATGGTCAAAAACGTTCAACTGTTATGAGTTGTACAGACAGGAGTTCTTGGATGAATGTAAGATCGCATGTTTCGCATAAGGCTACATCATCTTATGTTCTAAAACGACTGCAGCAAAGAGAACCATGCATGGTAAATGGATTATGTTCTGGTTATGCTACTTTGACTTTGGCACAAGGATATCATATTACTGTCTCTGCAGATTTTACTATGAAAGTTTGAACTGGATGACTTTTCTGCTTATCATATGTTCCTGAGATATCCTTCCTGAGAAAACTTAGAGTGAGAAAGGTGACTTTGCTTCTATCTTATCGGAACATTTTTTTTTTTCGAGTTTATAAGCAAACTATATTATAGATTTTCTGTATTTCAACTTAGGGACATTTGTGACATTT